CTTTGGAATACACAAGAAAGATGGTGGTCATATAATCTCTCCTCGTTGGATTTAACAATCATGTCGACCATGTACACCTCCCGCGTTTCTCCTATTTCTTCTTTGAAAATCTTATTCATCATCCTTTGGTATGTTTCCCCTACATTCTTCAAGTCAAAAGGCATCAAGTTATACTAGTAGTTGCCTTGTTTAGTCATGAAGGTCTTTTTATCTCTATTCGGCTCATACATGGGTATTTGAATGTATTCAAAATACACATCCATAAACAACATAAGTTTGTATTCGGCCAAATTATCTATGCTTGGGAGTGTTTTCGAGTCTTTGGGGGATGATATGTTAAGATAAGTATAATCGACATACATTATCTATTTCTCAAAAGTGTTATTGACTAACACCACATCAGATATTCATTCAGTGTACTTTACTTCAGAAATAAAGTTAGCCTCTAGCAAACCTTGGACCGTCTTTATGGACGCCTCGACATTCTCAGGAGACTGCTTCCTTCTTCTCAATGAGGCTTACTGGGAAATAGGATATATGTTTAACTGATGTCATGCCACATTGGAATCTATGTTAGATATCTCGTGGGGAGAGATAAGGAAGATATTATTGTTGTCCTTTATGAATTCAACCAATCCTTTCTTGACTTTAGTAGGTTGTCGTCCAACTTGACACTTTGAATTATCTATTTAGGACTAGCCATAAAACTTTCATCTTGATCTCAGTCGAAGGATCTAGCTCGTATTTGTTGAACATGTGACTCCATAAAAAAGAGGGGGTGAATTGTGAGGTTTAAAAAACAATAGTTTGAAGCCAAATTATCTTCTAAAATAAATTTGAAAACATTTTAATAAACATAATTGATTATGCAGCAGAATTAAAGCGGAATCAAAGAGTTAAGAGAAGAGATATAAAACTAAATATTTATAGAGATTTAGTCTTAAATAAGTGACGCGCTCCTCTCCCTAAGAATTGATCTTGAAAGTATCCTATAATTCTTGAGATCTTTTAGAAGGTTAAGCCAAAAACCCCTCTTATACAAGGAATATGAAGTTTCAAACTAACTTCCAACAAAACATCGAGCATAGGAAAAAAGCGGTTAGTTTTCACTCAACACAAGGAGCAAATCATTGAATAGTTAGTCTCTAAGCCAAATTGGGACTTTACACATAATGATCTCAAGCCTCGAGTTTTGAATTGGCTATCCTCCAAACTGAGTCGAGGTCTTATACGAGTTGACCATAAACCGAATGGAGATTTCTACCAGACTGATCTTGAACCTACTGAGCTTTTATACAGGCTAAACTCAGAAACCGAGTGAAATTTTATATCAGACTAATCTCGAGCCGACTGAGATTTTAATCGGGAAGAGCTCAAGACTTGTATGACTGTTGTCACTGGTTATTCTTCATGAACCTAAAAGAAGAGCTTTTCTTCAGTGGCAGAACTCACTAACGAAATAGAGACTTATACTAATCCCCTAAAAAGCTTTTATAAAGGTTTAGCTCCAAACCAAAATAATTACTTCCTAAGAAAAGAATGATTTACTCAAGAATAAAAAGAACTCTCAGTAAATTTACAATAAAGCCCTCACCTATAACAATTTCCTCGTTAAACTCAAGAACACTCTCAAAGATTATGACTTAAAATATGAGAGAAAAAGAAATATTTTAAAGAGATTGAAAAAGAGGAAAAGTGATCATTTTCACGTTTTTTAGATGGTTTGAAATGAAAGGGAAGCCATCTATTTATAGTACAAGGAATGGTTCATTTTAAGAAAGAATCCATGGGAAAAATAAATGACATAATTGATTAGCTAATCGATTAGGTACTTACAATAATCAATTATTAATGCCCAAATTAGAAGGTTTTGATAAATAATTGTTACCCTTCCTTAAGACATTTTCATAGTTTATTCGAGACTCGATTCTACTTCATCTGATTGCTTATGTATTTGTTTAGTCTATTAGACAGTTCAAAAACTTGTCTTAATCAATTTGACAGTTTCCAAAATAACTGGCTAAGCTCCAAAAACATTTTTGGTGGTTTTATTTGAAAAAAATAGGCTTTCAAAAATACATTTGTGTGTGTGTGTGGGGGGGGGGGGGGGGGGTGTATGTGTCTTTTATTCATAATTCTTATATAAGTTCCCTTGTGTCTTTAAAATACACTAATCACTTTGACAAACACGATCAATCAAGCTTTTACACTTCCTCTCTTTCACACTCAGAAGCTTCAAATCCTTTTTTTAGATATACCAATCATATAAGCATTTCACTTGAATCTTATTGTGGACGAGACTTGAGATATATTCAAGTGAGTTAACATCATTATAATATTGTAAAATATCACTAGTAATCATAAACCCTAGTTCTTTAGCTTGATTTGGAGGAATAACTTGATCAACCACTTTATGCATCATTGAACTCTTGATTATCTTTAATACTTATTTGTCTTCTTGTGTTGTTGTCATCAAAACCACTTAAGAGTTGTTACAAGCTCAAGTGTTCTCATCAAAACCATGACATTATCAAGGCTAAGCATATCTTTCTTATGTATGAGTTTTGATCACTTCCTGATTATACCTACAAGCATATAGTTCCACAGTGTCCCTATGGAGTTTCATCTTCGGGTATGTCAAGATCGACTACATTTTATCCTTCATAAACCTCCTTGTGTCTCTTCCAATAGATGACGACCATTGATAGTGAACTCTTCATTAATGCCTCATGTATTCGTCGTGCCCTTACAAGTCAATAGTGATTACAATTGGTTTGCCTGAATCGTTGTGCTACTTCATCTTCTAGTGGACGAGGGAGGCCACTGGATCTAGAGTTGCTAAGAATGGTCTATCAAGATGTCGTTGTAGACGCTTTCACATGGAATCATTAAAAAGTGAATGTTCACGATTTTCTTATTTCTCCTTTCTCCCAAGGAAACTAGTAAATATACATGTCCACATGGACGGGTAGAAGAATTGTTGAATGCTAGGAGGCACTGGCCTTCACATGGCCTCAAATCTTGCTTTCTAAAGCCCGACTCTATGAAGATTATGAGATATATCTAGATGCATGAACTTCTATCATCAACGAGGATCTCAGAGATAAAGCAATTAGAGATGGTAGCAGTAATGATCAACGGAAACGTTGAGTAAGGATTTACATCCACCATCTCGTGGTCATGAAACCAACATTATGCGGGAATAGATCTGAATGAATCAGGAGAGATCCATTGGAATTAGGAGAGATCAAAAGTCGATTCTCACAAACGACGTCACTATCCTGTTCTGAAACCAACATTATTAGTGTAGATTTTTGACGTGGTGGTGCAAATCTCTTATGCGGTTACACGTGTGTGGACCTACAAGGTTAGCATTCAAACATCTAAGTCGGTGAGCGAAGTAAGAGGGGGTAGAGTAAATTATGATTAGAATCATACCTTAGACTGCACATGTGATGGCTTACATATGATAAATAGTAATTGAACCTATATCCCATTGAGTATGTGGCCGACACAAAATATAATCGATTGAGCCTTAATAATAGTATAAAATATAAAAAGTCATCGGATTATACTAAGACATGTTAAGAAAAATAAGTGTGAGTTGAAAATGTTGAAAAACAAGTGTGAGAAATCACATATTGATTAAAAAAAAAGATTGAACATTTTATAAATGAGAGAACTCACACACATATTATCTTAAAATTTTTAATAATAAATACACGAGTCTATCATAAAATATATTGCTGATAAAGAAAAACTCTAATATAAAAATGTTGCCACCCCAAAAGAATTAATGACCTAACAAGACGAACTACACTCACAAGAAGTGAGTTACACAAGTTGCAGGCCAAGTAAGAAATTAAAATAAAGTGAGCTGGAATTGTAAGGGTGTGAGCAACACATGTCAAGATTCCATGGAAGCGTATCTAACGCAGTCAACTCCTCCTCGGATCGATCATTTTATTATTTTGTGATATGAATATGAATGTTACATTAACATTACCATTCCTCTCTCCTTCTCTCCAACCGACCAATTTGGTTCAATTGAAATGGAAACAAAACTAAAATCTCTCTATCTGTCTTCTCTATGCCTATGGTCCCTACTTACCTGCCGGACAACACTCTTTACTATCCATATCTATTTAATATATTTCTCCTCTATTTTTTATTCCATAATAAGACCTCTTTTCAATATACGGATTTCAGTAGCGTTTAAATAAAACTTTATTTGGTTTAAAAAATAGTTACATCATATATTAATATATATTTAATAAATATACATAATAAAATTATGGGTTAAATACGTGCAATCGGATATTTCTTGGGTTATAACTAAGTTAACTTAATGCATTAATAAATTCATAGTCTACTCACTATGATTCCATTTTCCATTTTTATGTTATTCCCTTTTTTGTGTTCATATAAGCATATAGCTGTTATATCCTCAATTTTCATTATTTATTTCGATATTTCCCCTTATGGTTATAAATAAATAAACGCGCATTCCTTTTCTTTATAGCTTTTCAAATCTTAGTTCACACGATTTCCCATTTTTAAGGGGAAGTGTGACATTATAAGAAAAAATGAATCAATGAATGAATATACTAACTATACTCTTCATGATTCATCTCTCTCAACTGGTTTCTACTTCTTCACTGTCACAGCAAGAAGAAAAAAGAACATAAGATTGCTTGCAGCATAGGGAAATGCTATTGGAATCTATACGTAAGAAACCAATTTTGTTTTCTTACCTTCTTTCTTTTATACCGATCCTCTGTCACATTATGGTGCAGAGCTTTTAATCTCTGCACCGTAACTGAAGTGGCAGAGGATCAACATACTTACTTTTATACTAAAAAAGTAATTTGGAGAAGTGCTGTAAAACTTCTTTTCCAAGTTTCGTATCTTTTATTCCATTGTTCACATTAACTCAATTTTTTTTGATATTCAGATTCATAGTTTGATTGAAGAGAAATTTGATTTTATTGGAAACCAGTATGGGATTTGATAATCCAAGATCTGAGAGGTGTGTTGTGTAACCTAAATTCCTTTCAATACCTTTCAAATTTTCGAGTTTTTTAAATACTAATTACTAGAAATTTTTATAGGTTTGAAGATGATTCTGATGTTTCCAAAACTCCGGCAACAAATGGTGTTAAAGTGAAATACCACATTGATGGAACACAAATACCAGAACCAAGTTCGAGAAAGTCTCAGAAAAAGGTTACGAGAAACAAGTTTTTGAAAACAAGAGTGTTATCAAGAGTATTCTCAGAGGATTATGAAAGAGTAAAAAAGAGAGTACTAGTATTAGATCCTAGGGGACAAATCATTCATCGTTGGAACAAGATATTTCTGGTAGCGTGTTTAGTTTCTTTGTTTGTGGATCCTCTTTTCTTTTATTTGCCAGTAGTTAGAGAAGAAGTTTGCATTGACATTGGAAAAAATCTCGAAGTTGTCCTCACGATTGTTAGATCAGTTGGGGATTTGTTTTATATGATTCAGATTTTCATGAAGTTTCGTACCGCGTATGTTGCTCCTTCGTCCAAGGTTTTTGGTCGAGGAGAACTTGTTCTTACGTATTCGAAGATCGCTGTTAGGTACTTCAGCAAGGGGTTTTGGTTAGACTTTATTGCTGCATTGCCTCTTCCTCAGGTAACGATGAATCTGTTACGATGTTTGGTTACGAAGTTCGGCCAAATGGGTGTATGTCTCTGACTATATATATCTGTTGTTGAACTTGCAGGTGTTGATATGGATTATTATCCCAACGCTTAGGGGTTCGACAATGGCGAACACGAAAAATGTGCTTCGTTTTTTCATCATTTTCCAATATATTCCAAGGCTATATTTGATTTTTCCACTTTCGTCGCAAATTGTAAAAGCTACCGGGGTTGTGACAGAAACAGCATGGGCAGGTGCTGCTTACAACCTCATGCTTTACATGTTGGCCAGCCATGTAAGTCATCACAAAAATGTAATACAGAAAATTTGAAATATCGTCTCGAAACTTACTTATGGTTTTACATTCTTAATAGATTTTAGGAGCTTGCTGGTACCTTTTATCGATTGAACGTCAAGAAGCGTGTTGGAGAAGCGTGTGCAATATGGAGAAACCGAATTGTCAATACAGATTCTTTGATTGCCATAGAGTTAAAGATGCTTTGAGGGTCAAATGGTTTGTGTCTAGTAATGTCACAAATTTATGTTCACCAAGTGCTGGCTTTTATCAGTTTGGTATATATGCTGATGCCATGACTTCCCAAGTTACATCCTCACCATTCTTCAATAAGTACTTTTTTTGTCTCTGGTGGGGCTTAAGGAATCTCAGGCAAGTATTATGGTCAAATAGTATTTTACTTTGCTAGAAATCAGGGTCGTCTTTGAGGGTGTGCAAGATGGGTTAGACTCTCGTAATAGATTTGACACGCTTAAACCATGGTTAAATAGAGACTTTAGTTGTTGCCATGGTTTAAGTGTGAGTAACTTACACAGGGTCTCAAAAAAACTAAGACGGCCCTGCTAGAAACCATGATATAATGAGGGAAATGTGTTTTGTCTTGAGTATTAATGATTTTCTGATTGGAGGGTGCAGTTCTTTAGGACAAGGCCTTCTTACTAGCACTTTTATTGGAGAAATCATGGTTGCCATTGTTGTTGCAACTCTTGGATTGGTTCTTTTTGCGCTGCTGATTGGTAATATGCAGGTAAGTGCGGTTCATTTATTTCTCTTGGTACAATAGAAAGTGTTTTGAACATTGGATGAGATGTGATGGGAACTATGTTTATCGCTCGGATGCATCACTCACCTTAAAAGTCGGTTTTGTCAGTCTTTACTTCTAATAGAATTTGAACTTTGCAGACATACCTTCAATCGATAACTGTTCGCCTAGAAGAGTGGAGGGTGAAAAGAACTGATACAGAACAATGGATGCATCACAGGCAACTACCTTCAGAACTACGAGAGTCTATTCGGAAATATAATCAATATAAATGGGTGGCTACACGAGGAGTAGAAGAAGAAGATCTTCTCAAAGGACTTCCACTCGATCTTAGGAGAGACATCAAACGCCACCTTTGTCTTGAACTAGTTCGAGGAGTAAGTCAAGAAACACCAAGTTTTTATTTGTTTATATGATAATTTTTGGTTGTGAATGTGACCACGTCGCGATTTTGGCTGATGACATTCGAAATGATCCGTTAATTCATTATTAACAGGTTCCGTTGTTTGATCAAATGGACGAGAGGATGCTAGACGCGATATGCGAAAGACTAAAGCCTGCATTATGCACTCAAGGAACATACCTTGTTCGCGAAGGCGATCCAGTGAACGAAATGCTCTTCATAATTCGAGGCCATCTTGATTCCTACACCACAAACGGAGGCCGTGACGGATTCTTCAACTCATGTCGTATTGGTCCAGGTGATTTCTGCGGCGAAGAACTATTAACATGGGCCTTAGATCCAAGACCAAGTGTGATACTCCCCTCATCGACAAGAACAGTAAAAGCTGTCTCAGAAGTGGAAGCCTTCGCGCTCATAGCTGAAGATCTTAAGTTTGTTGCATCTCAATTCCGAAGATTACATAGTAAACAGCTTAGGCATAAATTCAGATTCTATTCACACCAATGGAGAACTTGGGCTGCTTGTTTTATACAAGCTGCATGGAGAAGGCACAAGAAAAGGAAAGAAGCTGCTGAATTGAGGGCTAAGGAGAATCTTATGGCAGCATCAGAGAGTGAAAGAGCAAAAAGATATGGGAAAGGTTTTGTTGTTTATGAAACAAGGGTGGCAAGGAGTACTAGGAAAGGTGTGCATCTGCAGAAGCCAACAGAACCTGATTTTTATGATGAATAATAATGAATGTACATTATGAGATTGATCCAAAAAATTTTCAACGGGGATTACTCGTTACCTCTTAGTATTTCTCCCCAGTTTGTGTCGTCTGAATAGTAAAATCCAGACGCGCACAAACTTCTGGATAGTAAATTCCACTAATGCACCATCTTTGTTCATAACAAGGCAAATACAACACTCCTTACAATATTCCTGAACCATTATGTTTAGTTATGCTTGTGTATTCTTGTTAGTTGTTAGTAGAAAATTGTTAGAACTCGTTTGTATTTTATTGTTTCTTTTAGGACTTGGTTATATGAAGTCATTCTGTTAATGAAATTTCATGAGTTTTCTATTCTTTTTCTCTACCTGCACATAACATAAATACTTTAAGAGTGTCAATGAGATAATTGGAAAGTTTTAAGAAATTTAAAATTTTAACAAATTCAAATGATTAATGATTCAATTGGAATTCATAAATTTTTAAATTATTTTATTTGGATGAAGTATTAAAATAATTTCTTGTTAAATTTTTGGAGTTATTTTGATCAATTTTAAAACCATTGGGCCAAATTTAAATAATAGAAAATATGGACTAATTTGCAATTTATAATGGGGTAATTGAGAATTTGTAAGAAATTTTAAATTTTAAATAACTTAAATGATTAATAATTTAATTAAAATTTTTTTTTAATTCTTTTACTTGAATAGAGTATTAAAATAATTCATTGTTAAATTTTTGGAGTTGATCAATTTTAAACTTATTGGGCCAAATTTAGATAATAGAAAATAGGGACTAATTTGCAATTTATAAAATTTTGAAAGAACCAATTTATAAATTTTGAAAACTATTAGGGACATATTTATAATTTTATTTAAAATTTTGTAGATGAAGTTGAAATTTTTATAAAATATAAAGACCGTTTTATAAAATTTGAAAAATTAAAAATAAATAATTTAACATGATGTGAATGGGCAATTTCAAATTACTTATTTTTTAATATTATTTAAAATTTCTTAAATTTAATTTGAATAAAGTGCTTCTAAATTTTTTAAAAAGAATTGCAAACCCTTCCAATTGCAATTTTTGAATGAAAAGATTATAAATTCTCTTTTAATTAAATTACAATTTTTGAACGAAAAAATTATAAACTCTCTTTTAATTATAATTTTTGGACCGAAAAATTACAAACTCTCTCTTAAATGCAATTTTTGGATGGAAAAATTACAAACTGTTTTTCAACTACAATTTTTGGATAGGAAAATTACAAATCATCTCATCAAACTATTTTTGAACGGAAAAATAGAAAATCTTCTTTAGACACGCAACTACCCAAATTTCTAATACAAGACTACATATTCTAACTATCTATATTTATATTAATACTCAAATTTTATTTTCTTCTTACTACCTAATGTGAGCTTTGGATGAATATATTACCCAACAAATCTTTCTTTCATCCAAATATCATATACTTTTATTTTGTCTTCAACTTCATCTTCAAAGAGATCGTTATAATTATAATGATTAATCAAATTTTTAAAATTATTACTCTTCAATCTTTTTGTCTTCGTTCTCCCTTGATTAGAATGATTGTTACTCCTCTTTTTTCTCTTGATCAAAATTTGCGTTACTCTTCTTTCCTTCCTTGATCGAAGCTTTAACTCTAATACCATTGGTGGGTCATCACGAGGAAGAAGCATTCAAATTATTTTTTTGACAAGAAACTAAACTTTATTAAAGAGAAAGAAGGGAGGTATTTGGAACCTCACAGTTTACAAAAGGATATCTCCCAACCTAAGATCTAGAACCAAAAGTCTTACCCAAACCAACAAGGTTATGAGCATTGGCTAAACAGAAATTGATGCACTCCACAACAGAAAGAGAGTCAGATTAAATAATGATCTCATCAATCTTCATATCCAAGGCAAGAAAAAGAGACCATCTAATTGCGAGAATTTTTGCCACCACCGGAGTCACGATGATGCTTTCTTTTTTACCGACAACAAGAAAAATTTATGATTCACAGTTTTTGATTATGCAGCCAAAGCATGCGGCTTCCTCCTCCATGATACCCGCGTCCACCTACATCACAAAATATTTTCCAGCTGTCATATCCAAATCTAGTTTAGCATGAACCACTTTCCTTCGACCAATCTCAGGATTTGAAACATTGAACTCAGACACAAAATTCAATGTCTCAAGGGCCACCAAAGAGGGATCTATCATCTTCTGCTCATACATAAAGGAGTTTCTTGCCTTCCAAATTTTTTGCAGCATTGTTCACAAAAGTTGCGTGCTCAACAAGTCCCCTCAAGTGAGGATGCGCAATAGCCAATCCTGAATACTCATGTCCACTAGAGCATGGTATCCCAGTATTGAGGAGAAAAATACATGCTTATCAAAAACACAATTCAAAAACAGATGGTGGCTAGTTTCCACCTCAGAGTTGCAGAGAGAGCGTAACGAATCCAGCTGAATATCCTTCATGCACAGGTTGTCCTTGGAGGGAAGGACATTTTTTCCAAAACGCCATAGGAAATTTCGCGTTATGACATTAATGTTTTCCCTTCAAATATCTTTCCACAACATTTGAAAAGGAATATTATAGGTTTCGGGATTCTTAGCACTCTTGATTTGCTGACAGGTATGATAGGCAGTTTTGACAGAATACTCCCTGTTCCCCTCAAAATGCCAAAGGAGACGATCCTCATTATCCCTAAAAGAGAGGGGAATACTAGTGATTTGCTTAGCATCCATTAGATCAAAGCAGACCTCAATTAAATCCTTTTTCTAGATTTTTAAATCTCCATCAATAAATTCCTTCACTTTTGTGTCCTTTTGAATACCTCTATCAGGCCTAAAAATTTTGAACCCCAGATTATCGGGAAGCCAACTATCAGAACAAGCCACGACTTTTTCCCCATTTCCGATCCTCCATCTAGCCCCACGATTTATGAGCTCTCTCGCACTCAAGATAATCCTCCATGCAAAACTTGGTGTGAAGCCAAGAGTACTTTCCGCTATTGTACTTCTAGGGTAATACCTTGCTTTGAACACTTTGCCAAGCAGCGAATTCTCATTTGCTAGAAGGCGCCAATAGGTTTTTTTTTAGCAGGCTTGTGTTGAAGTCACTGAAGCCTCTGAACCCCATTCCTTCTTCCCTTTTCCCTTTTGCAAGCTTATCCCAACTCTTCCAATGGACCTTCTTAGCACCACCACGAGCTCCCCACCAGAAGTTGGCAGTAATGGACTCAATCTCCTTACAAGTGGATTCAGGTAACTTGTAGCAACTCATGATGTATGTAGAAATAACCTGGGCGACAACTTTAATGAAGACCTATTTTCCAACATGTGAAAGAAACCTTTCTTTCCAACCTTTTACCTTCTTCCACACCCTATCGATAAATAGCTTAAAATTCTCTTTCTTTGACCTGCCAAAGACCATCGAAAGACAAGGGTATTTTGTGTGACTTGGAACTATTTTGACTCTCAACTTTGACCGCAACGCTTCTTGAGCCTCATCATTCACATTCCTGCTAAAAGAGACCTCATATTTTTCGAGGTTCACCACCTTCCCAGATGATTCTTGATACCTTCCCAGAATTAATAGAATCATCGCTGCTTCCTGCTGACTAGCTCTAGCAAATAGCAGACTGTCTTCTGCAAAAAAACGAGTTATAAGAGGAGCCTTGCGAGCCACTTGAATACCATGGAGCTGCCTACAGTTCACCTCCCTTTTGATTAAACCTAAAATAACATCAGCACATAAAATGAACAAATAAGGGGAAAGGGGATCCCCTTGACAAAGACCCCTCTCCGGCAAAAAAAAATAGAATTGGGTTGCCCATTTATGAGAATTTTGTAAGAGACCGTAGAAATGCCCTTTTTGATAAGATTGACCAAGCTTTGAGGAAAGCCCGTGGAAGAAAGAACTCTGATAATGAACGTCCATTCCAACTTGTTGTAAGCCTTAGACATGTCCAACTTGAGTGCCATGATCCCTTTCTTCCCCTTTGTCTTCTTTTTCATCAAGTGGAAACATTCCATCGCCACTAAAGGGTTATCCATAATGAGACGGACTTGGAAGAAAGCGCTTTGTTCCTTATCTATAATATCGGGAAGAATCCTCTTGATCCTATTGGCAATGGTCTTCGTAATTATCTTCATGACCACCTTACAAAGACTTATAGGGTGAAAATCCTTTGCACTTGAGGGATGTTTACACTTTGGAATCAAGGCAATGTGTGTGTTGTTTAGTTCTCTAGGATCTGCATTGTTGTTCAGCACGTCCAAGACAATGTCGCAGATATCAATCCCAACAGTATTCCAATACTTTTGAAAGAAAAGGGCAGGCAGACAGTCCAGACTTGGAGCTTTTAACGAATGCATTTGAAAAAAGACAGTTTTAACTTCCAAATCCGTAAACCTCCCATCACACCAACCGATATGATCAGGTTGTAGCTTATCATTCACAATGGAGCAAACCTCTTCGATATTTGGAGGAAGTGAAGAGTAGAACAACTCTGAAAAATAGTGGACCAGGATTCTTTCACAATGATTATCACCTCTCCACCAAATTCCATTCTCATCCTTTAGCTTTGTGATGGAATTTGTTGCTTCCTCTTATTGGCTTTCCCATGGAAGAATTTATTGTTTTTGTCTTCGTGCTTCAACCAAAGAGCTTGACTTCTCTGACACCACATGATCTCATCGACCTGCAAAACTTTATTTATTTGATTCTCCGGTGCTTTGTACTCATTGATGTTCTCAATGGTACCATCCCATCTGCGATATTCCTTTAGAAGCTCTTCAATCACACTGATCTTCCTTTAGACGTAGTCTTATGGCTTCGTTACTAACACCTTTCGCTTTTACGGTGTCAGCGTATTGCACAAACATTGATAAATGAAAGTTCGGGTCGTCTGTAGGACTCTCAGAAAACTGGTTCTGTTGAACAGCTTGTAATAATGAAGGTTTTAGCTCGAAATCGTTTCATTCGATGGCAGGGGCAAAAAAG